GCCAGCGCTGAGCCGCGGAGAGGAGCCCCCGGGCAGCCCCACGCCCCGCAGGCACCAGCGCAGAGACTCCAGCGTCGCGTAGATGCTGGGGTCCTTGGCCACCACGCCTGGGGGGACAAATGCAATGGGTGAGAGGTGACATCAGGGGGCTGCCAGCATTTGTACCCCCTGCTATGTCCCCTCACTCACCACGCACCAGGCGTTGCTCCTGCACCATCAGCGAACGGTACTCGCCCCACTTCTCGTAGAGGGTTTGCTGGGGGTGGGGGGAACAGGGTGGGTGAGGGGGCTGGGTGGGGGTGAGCACCCTGTTGGGGGGCACAGGACCCCTCTCCCAGCCCCCAGCTCACCTTGAGGTACTGCAGCCGGGCCTCCAGCTCGGCCCTGCGCACCGAGGTGCCGTAGAGCGTGTCCAGCCTGCGGGGCAGAGCCGGGCAGGGGTGATGGGGAGGGCCATGGGGACATCAGGACACATGGGACATGGTGAGGGGACCCAGCCATCTCACCTGAGCACATCGCCCGAGTTCCTGATGATCTCCACGATCTCCCGGTGCCGGACGCCCTCCACGTTGAACCCGTTGACGCCCGTGATGGTGTCACCTGTCGGGATAAGGCTCAGATGGATGTCTGGGCCCCCCCATCCGCTCGCTGCCCAGAGAGGGGGGCACTCACCGGCTTGGAGCCCCGCAGCAGCGGCCGGGCTGCCGTCGTGCACGCGGCACACGAAGGTGAACATCTCCACACGGTTCCTCTCCTGATGGTGCAGCCCGTAGGTCTGGAAGGAGGCACCGGAGTGAGGGGCGCTGGGGGTCTCCCACATCTCCCCACACCCACCCATGGGAGCCTGTGGCACCCAGGCGGCTCCATCACTGCTAAAAATAGCGCCTGGCTCAGAGATGATTTAAAAATACCCTGGGCCAAGGCAAGAAGCCGGGAGGCCGCAGGGCTCACCTGGATCTCGAAGCCAAACGCCTCCTCCGCCGCCTTCTCCAGCGTCACCACCCGCCTGCGGGGAGCCACAGTGAGGGCCTGGCCACCCCCCGGGGTTGCAGGCTCTTTGCTAACGCCCCCAGCCTCGAGCTTTGCGGGAAGCGGGGCAGTTCCTCTTTCCTCCTCCCATCGTTGTGGCAGCCCAAGCCCTGCACCCCCTGCTCCGGCTGCAGCCCCCAAAAAACCCCGGGCC